TCCACTCACCTCAGCCTCCCATGGCGCGGGATTACAGGCTGAGCCACCGAGCCCGGCTCCAATTTTTTATTATTGCAACCAGTGCTGCAAATAACCTCATAGATTTTTCAGTTTGCACTTGCATATGTTTTTCTGAAAGATAAGATTTCTAAAAATGAAAGCTGAATGAAGAAGCATGTGCCAAGTTGTCCTCTCTTGCCTACAGCCACATGAGGGTCCCAGGAAAACTGCACCTACAGGAGACAAACAGGAAGGTGGAAGATCTGTTAGGCTGGAGACTGCACTCGTTTTCACAACTGATCTGTTTATGCAGAGTACAGAGGCCTAACCAGAGCTTCAGCTGCCAGAGCCGAAGGATGTAGCAACATTGGCCCTGCCACCTGGCACTCTCTTTCAGAGGATAAAATGTAGCCTAAAATTGTTAAGACCTAAAAACAGCTAGGAAAGTGTTTATAACAATTAATGTTAATAAACTTATAAATAAGCAGGAGGCCGACAGGTTTAATGAGTTGCTGACTGTCTTGGTCTGTTTTCTAGAACTACACAAAGGCCATGCGACTGTTTGTGGGAGACCCAGTGTGGACAGCATACAACCGACCCGCTGACCATTTCGAGGCCCGAGGACAGTACCTGAAGTTTCTGGCACAGACAGCATAGCAGCGCTCCCTGGGAACTAACAGGCACCTTGTAAGGGTCCTGCACACAGTAACCAAGCAGAACATCAGTCGTTTTCTCTTGGCTTTTGTAGGGTCTGTCTGAGGCTAGGCAGCCTTTCCTTTGCAGATTATTTGATGAGACTTTTTTAATGAAAGGATCTTGAAACTGATTTTCACATGGAAGCAACTTCGAAATGTAGACAGATCACCTTCATTTTCTCTAACTTGATTAAGACGAGTGGTTCCTGCCTTCCATGTGAAAGTTTCCTTTCTCTTGGAAGGTGAGGCGGAAGGATCGCCTGAGCCCAGCAGGTCGAGGCTGTGGTGGCCGTGAGTGTGCTACTGCACTCGAGTCTGGGCGACAGAATGAGGCTCCGACTCAGAAAAAAAAGAAAATTTCCTATCTCAAAATGTGGCTCCTTGGGCTCATTCTGGAGCAGGGGCAGTAGCAGGTAACACAGCTAGCCAGATAGAAGACACTTCTCCCAAAACGGTCCCTTGGGGTGGGAGGTGCTGTGAGGGAAGAGCTCCTCCTGTTAGGGCCCTGTGAGTTACTTATGCTACTTCCTTGCTCAAAATAAAGCGACTGCCTTGATTTTATGCTCATGGCTTGGAGTTACCTTCTATTCACGTATATGTGACTTTTTGCCTGGTGTCTTAAAATCACCTCTGATTGTATATGGATAGAATTAATTTATATATTAGCTGTATTTTTTCAGTGTGTGATTTCTAGTTTCCCAATTAAGCTTTTGAATTTTAACAAGAGAATTTGCACACTATTTTTCTATGTAACAGTTCTGCTATACATTTGTCTAGTTTGTTATAATCACAAGAAAAATCCCAAATCAACCTCATGTTTTAGATGGGCAGGTTGCTTTCTAAATTTTTTTTTTAATCTTCACATTGAAATTAATCTTTCATCATTTTTACATTTTTGTTTCCCACTGCACAGAGAAAACTCAAGCCTTAGATGTTTAAGTAAACTCTGTCTCAATTTTAGGATTAAAATATATGCAGGCAGCATGATAGTAACATAAATATCTAGGGCTTTCTTCTGTCAAGTATTATTCTATTTCAATTATTAAAATATGTGTCAATCTACTGATTATTTTTGTTATTTTATGTATTCACTTCTAAATGGTCATTATAAATGGAACTTGTTCACTTTTAAGAATGAAACATTAAAGAGACGATTACTTTAAATTGCCTTTTGCTTAGTATGAGTTTTCCCTGCCAGGATCCATTGCTTTAAATGAAGGCTGGCTGCCGGGGCCTGGGCTCCACCTGCTCGTCCTTGCCTGCGTGCTTCAGCTTTCTTACCAGAGATGGATTTTCACAGGCAAGGGCAGGAGAATCCTGCCAAAGCACTGAAGGTGAAAGAACATTTTGTTAATGACTTCCATTTTTAAAAAATCAGGTTTATTGAGGTATAGTTTGTGTGCAATAAAATGCACACATGTTAAAAGCTTTTAAGTTTTGGCAAGTGTCACATAGCCAGTCAGAACAGTGTGGGCATCTTATCACCCCCAGAGAGTTTCCTTGTGCCCCTTCCTAGTTGTCCCCCCTACCACCCCAATATCCACTGTGGGTTAGTTTTGCCTTTTCTAGAATCAGATACAAATGGAGTTCTGCGGCATGCTAATTAAGTTCACTCTTGTGTCTGGCTTCTTGTCCTCCTTTTCCTGTTCCCTGGTCCCCTCCTCTTAAACTGTGTCATTGCAGCCCAGTATCTCAGACACTGGAATGACTTTTGGAGAGCTGAAGGGCTGAAAAACTCCATTTGAGCAAGAGGAAATCGACCATAGTGACAGAATGGAACTCTTAAGAGGTAGAGAAAACCGTGGCAAGTCAGGGGTGCTCTTTCAGAAGGCATCACCACCAAGCAGCTGAGGCCTCTAGTTCAAGCTGAAGGTTAGAGCAGATCTTTTATAAACTCACATTCACTAGGATTCGAAATCAGTGATTTTCCACAGGAGCCTGACTCTTCGTCTCCCAAGTAGGATAGCTGCTGGTTTTTACATTTTCCAAATTTGTGTGAGTTCTCAGCTTAGAGAGGGCTGTGCTTGCTGGGTGAATGAAATGTACCTGGACATGTGCTACTTTTTCATACGTGCCTCTTCTTGCCTGTATGTGTGTGGTATTGATTGTAGTGGTGTTTACGATCGGGATATTGATTGATCTGAATATGGATTATTGCACTTGAGTGTAGCTTCACACTTTCTAGAGTGTTGGTGTTTTTTATTTTTAATTCCTTTTTTTTTTTGAATCGGAGTCTCATTCCGTCACCCAGGCTGGAGTGCAGTGGCACACGGCTATCCCAGCCTCGACCTACTGGGCTCTGGCGATCCTTCCTTCTGCCTCAGCCTTCCAAGTAGCCGGAACTACAGGTGTGCGTTACCATGCCCGGCTAATTTTTGATTTATTGTTGAGATAAGGTTTGGCCAAGTTGTCTGGGCTGGTCTCAAACCCATGGGCTCAGACAGTCTACTTGCCTCATTGTCCCAAAGTGCTGGGATTGCAGGCTGAGCCACCGAGCCCAGCCTGTGTGTTGTTTTTTAAAAACTTCATTTTTTAGCCGGGCACAGCATGTGCCTGTAGCTACTTGGAAGGCTGAGGTGTAAGGATCACCTGAGCCCAGCAGGTTGAGACTGCGGTGGCCAGGAGCGTACTACTGCCCTCCAGCCTGGGTGACAGAGTGAGATTCCTACTAAAAAAAAAATAAACAATGAAAACTTCCTTTTTTCCTTGCTGTAGTTCCCCTAATGGTAAACACCACGCTGCAGAGAACCCAGGCCGATTCATGAAAGGACTGGCTCAGGGCGAGGGTCCTTCATCGATGAGTCTGTCGAGTAGTAGATGCAGATAACCAGGAAATGTCCAACCTTGTTCCCTCTTCATCCGAATTAAGCATCTTATCCCAGGGAAGTCTTAGCCCCAGGTACTTTCCCCTGTTTAGGATGTGGCTTTAAGACCCTTAATTACTGGGGTGCTGTGTTTCTTTGTTTGGTTTTGTCCATGCTTCCTAAGCAAGTAGGATCACCTCCTGTCTGAGTTTTATTTCCCTTCTTGTCATGCAGATCTTCTTCCTTATCATTTAGTCTAGAAGGAAGAGTAGGAGGGTGGGTGGAGAGAGCTCTGCCAATGTGAGAAGCCTCTGTTAGTGGACTTGTCTCCTTGGCCAGAGGCTGCCGTGATTGTCACCAGGATGAGCTACTTAAAATGACAACAGGCCGGGCGTGGTGGCTCACTTCAGGAGGCCATGGCGAGAGGATTGCCTGAGTCCACAGGTTCAAGACCGACCTGGGCAACTTGGCGAGACCTCATCTCTACAATAAATCCAAAAATTAGCCAGGTGTGGTGATGTGCACCTGGAAGACTGAGGCGGAAGGATTGCCTGAGCCCAGCAGGTTGAAACTGCGGTGGGCCATGAGCGTGTCCCTGCACTCCAGCCTGGGCAACAGAGTGAGACTCTGACTCAGAAAATAAATAAATAAAATAAATAGACAACAAAGCGCCCTCATCTATCAACTTACAATTCTGAACTCTCAATTTAAAAAAAATCCTAATCTGACCTCTTACAGAAGTGAAGGAAGCATGGTAGACTCATCAGGTTGGAACTGGGATAAAACCAGGGAAGGGCTGGAGTCCAGGTCACTGCCCGTCCCAGTTCATTTTCTCCAGTCCCACTCTGACAGCTTGTCCTCCATCCACGGATGTACAGACCGTATATTCTCACTTTTGCTTAAGAAAATATAGCTACTAAATTAAACTATTGTATCAAAATAATGCTTGATAAAATGTTTTTCAATACTGATGTTATCAGAATGACCCAGTTACTTTGTTTATATACAAAGCTCATATTTAATCTCATTTTCATTCATGTGTCTTCTGTTGTGATCAGGCAAATTCTTTCCAGGGGCTCCAGGCTGACTGCCTGTCACCATGAACACCTCTCCTGTCTCCTGGCTACCCCTGTCACCATGAACACCTTTCGTGTCTCCTGGCCACCCCATAATCATCTTTATCCTGTCTCCTGTCTCCTGGCCACCCTATAGCTTTCCTTTAAGCTTAGCCCCAGCTCAGGACACTATTCACACTGGTGTAATTCACTGAAGAATTTGGAAGACATCATTTGTTTTTTAATTTGTGTCTATAAGTCAGATAGTTTTTCAGATTTTTTTTTTTTTTTGAGTTGGAGTCTCACTCTGTCGCCCAGGCTGGAGTGCAGTGTCATGCTCACGGCCACCACAGGCTCAATCTGCTGGGCTTAGGCAATCCTTCCGCCTCAGCCTTCCAAGTAGCTGGAACTACAGACACACACCATCACGCCTGGCTAATTTTTTGTGATTTAGTGTAGAGACAGGGTCTCACCCAGCTGTCAAGGCTGGTCTCGAACCCCCGGGCTCAGATAGTCCTCTCACCTCAGCCTCCCAAAGGGCTGGAATTACAGACTGAACCACCACCCGGCCCAGATTTTATACAAGTAGCTATTCTGAGAAGAGCATGGATTTAATCTTTAGGAAGCTAAAAAATGTAAAGAAATATATACCAGGCTGCGGTGGGATACTAACTGCACAAAGTGACTGTTGCTATGCCGACCTGCGGGATGTCAAACTCGGTCCCAGGGAAATGGAGCTTTGTTTCTAAGCGCCTGTCTGCTGGGCACGTGTGTGTACGTGTGCTGCTGTGGGCTCTAGAGGACCCGTTAAGGAGCATGTTGACAAACTGTGGGATGTGAAGGAGCCACTTGGGGTTCCTTGAATTTTCCCTGCCTGTTTCCCCAAGAAGAGGCTGATAGCACAGCCACTCCAAACATTCAGCCGCATCCCCGTGAGGAGATGTGGGAGTGTTTGTTCTCTAACCATGCAGTGCGGTTTGTGGCTTCAGACGTTTGATTCTCATAGTGCAGCTTTGACAACGCAAGTGAAGTCCTTCTGCCTATATAAGGCATGCTTGTTTTCAGAGAGCGAGGCCTCTGTCAGGTGGACTGAGAACTATGCTCGTGTCATTGGGCGATTGAATTGTGCAACTTGACGAATGTACAACGTCTCACCTGATGGACATGAAGGTGGGAGGGACTTAGATCTAGGAATTCTAATTTGCCAGCACAAGGGGTTTTTTGCATGTCTCCCAGTGCCTAGCTTATGTTAGAATTCAGTATACCTGGGGTGGGGTAGATAACTGGTTCTGGTTCTGGTCATAGAGATTCAGAATGCTAAATTCAGATGTGATCTGAAAACCGTCATTTTCCTGAAAGCTCTTTTCCTTTGGGAAGTATATTATGTAAAAGTTTCTAGAAACCTTGAATAGTTTTATGATTCACACAATGAAAACGTAATTACAGGAAAAAATTTAGCATTCTAAAGATTTTATTTATTTATTTGATTTTAGTTTTTGAATCAGGGTCACAATCTGTCGCCCAGACTGGAGTATAATGACACAATCACAGTTCACTGTAGCCTCGACCTCCTGGGCTCAGGCAATCCTTCTGTCACAAATTCCTGAGTAGTTGGTACTGCAGATGTACACCACCTTGTCCAGCTGATTTTTTTAATTTTTATTTTTGTAGAGACAAGGCCTTGCTTTGTTGCCCAGGCTAGTCTCAAACTCCTGGGTTTAAGTGATTTTCCTGCCTCCGTCTCCCAAAGTGCTGGGATTACAGGCGTGAGCCACCATGCCCAACCTACATTGTAAAGATTTGAAGATGAACGTGGAAGGAAATACGGGGTCAGTCTGATGCTGCTTGCGGGTCTCAAAGAGGTAACACATTCTGAACTCCCCCATCACACGAAGAATTTTAACACATCCATGGAGGCAGAGGTAAGAACGTCCTCATTTGAGAATATGACAAGGAAAAAAACCCACAAAACAAAATGCAAGAACAAAGCATGCCCATGGTCATTCTGACTGTCTGGGTACTCAAAAACTGCATCTCAGTGGCTATTTCTTTCTTTTTGAGTCAGAGTCTTACTCTGTCACCCAGGCTGGAATGCAGTGGCATGCTTACGGCCACTGCAGCCTCAAACTGTTGGGCTCAGGCGATCCTTCCACCTCAGCCTTGGAAACGAACCACAGGTGCACGCCACCATGCCTTGCTAATTATTTAATTAATTGTAGAGATGGGGTCTCGCCAATTTTTTTTTTTTTTTTTTAGATTTATTGTAGACATGAGAGCTTGCCAAGTTGCCCAGACTGGTCTCAACCCCT